GTGGAAATAGACTCTGTGATATTTGCACACTGATGAAACTGCCTAACAACACATTTCTCTGAATATATTCCAGACTTTAAGTGATGCATGACTGTATATCATTACCATGTATTGGATATATACAGGATATATCATTTTGTATATTTTAAAGCTTTAAATAGATGATATATTGTACACAATCTTCTGTAACTTTTTCATCAGTATTATGTCTTGACATTTATCTATTTTGATACATAAGATCATTTTAACTGTTCTATGATAATTGATTGAACAAACCATAGTTTATTAATCCATATTCCTACTACAGGACAGTTATTTCCACTTTTTTTTGAGACGGAGTCTCGCTCTGTTGCCAGGCTGGAGTGCAGTGGCGTGATCTTGGCTTATTGCAACCTCCGCCTCCCCGTTCAAGCATTCTCCTGCCTCCGCCTCCGGAATAGCTGGGACTACAGGCATGCAGCACCTCACCACTTTTGTTCTACTACAGTGTGGCTATATATATCTATTTTGAGACTGTCCTGCCCTGTTGCCCAGGCTGAAGTACAATTGCATGATCTCGGCTCACTGCAACCTACACCTCCTGGGTTCAAGTGATTCTCCTGCCTCAGCCTCCTCAGTAGCTGGGACTATAGGCACCTGCCACCACGCCTGGCTAATTTTTGTAGAGACTGGCTAATTTCTGTATTTTCACCATGTTGGCCAGACTGGTCTTGAACTCCTGACCTCAGGTGATCCCCTGCTTCAGCCTCCCAAAGTGCTGGGATTACAGGCATGGGCCACTGCACCCAGTCTACATAGAAGGTCTTAATGCCTAATGAAAATGATTTCCCCTTGATTTTTTTGTCACAATTTTATCTGCCATTCTTGACTTCTTGGTCTTCCATATAAGTGAGAGTCAGCTTTTGAAAATTCTATATAGTTTCCAGTTTGGATTTTGATTGGAATTACATCTTTTATGATTTTCAACACATTTCCTTTTTTTTTTTTTTTTTTTTTTTGGTAGATTTGGGGTCTCACTATTTTTCCCAGGCTGGTCTCAAATTCCTGAACTCAAGAAATACTCTCATCTCACCCTCCCAAAGTGTTGGGATTACAGGTATGAGCCACCACCCTTGGCTAAAGTTTCAGTTTCTATCATAAGGTCTTGAATACCATTGCAATCTGCAATTTAATACTGGATATCTTATAATTTGCTGCTATTACACATAGTTCTTTTGTTAATCACATTTTCTAAAAGTTTGATTTGATTTTACTTATTGATTTTATGCCTAGCAAACGTACTGAACTCTCTTTTTAATACTAATAGTTTATGGACTTTCTCAAATTTTTCTATTGAATCAATTGCATAGTCAATGAATACTGAGAATCTTATTTCTTTCTTTTACTTATTTTTAAATCTTTATGTATTTTTTTCTCTTGCTTATTGTATGGCCTAAGACATCCAGCACAACTTTGAACAGCAGCCTTCTTGACTTATTCCTCACTGGTGAAGAAATGATTGTAATACTTCCCATTAATTACATTGTCCTAAAAATGACCCTTTTATCATGTCAAGAAAGTTTGCTTTCTTTAGAAAGAAAGTTTGTTATTTTATCTTTCTGTCTCTATTCTGTATGGTTTCCTCATGTCTAGTTTAATAGTTTTCTCTTCGACTGAATATCATCTGCTTTGTAAAGTATGCATTGAGTCATTACTTTTAATAAATATGTTTTTTTATTCAAGAAGTTCTTTTCCAGCACTTTGGGAGGCCGAGACAGGCGGATCACGAGGTCAGGAGATCGAGACCATCCTGGCTAACACGGTGAAACCCCGTCTCTACTAAAAAATACAAAAAACTAGCCGGGCGAGGTGGCGGGCGCCTGTAGTCCCAGCTACTCGGGAGGCTGAGGCAGGAGAATGGCGTGAACCCGGGAGGCGGAGCTTGCAGTGAGCTGAGATCCGGCCACTGCACTCCAGCCTGGGCGACAGAGCGAGACTCCGTCTCAAAAAATTAAAAAAAAAATTAAAAAAAAAAAAAAGAAGTTATTTTCCTCCCAGCTTCATTGAGCTATGACTGACAAATAAAACGTTAAGTATCTTTCAGGTTTATAACATAATGTTTTGTGCATATTTATTGTGAAATGATTACCACAGTCAAGCTAATTAACATATACATTACCTCACATAGTTTCCTTCAAGTCTGCTGTTTCTTTTTTATTTTCTGCCTGAACTATCCATTCTTGAAAATGAGATATTGAAGTCTCTACTAGTATTATATTACTGTTTGTTTTTCCCTCAGCTCTGTTAATATTTGCTTTGTATGTTTAGGTGCTCTGACTTTGGGTGCATATATATTTATAATTGTTATAGCTTCTTGATGAATTGACCTCTTTATTATTATATAATGTCCTCTTTATCTCTTGTGACAGTATTTGAGTTAAAATCTGCTTTGGCTGACATAAGTATAGCCACCCCTGCTTTCTGTTGTTTACCATTTGCATGGAATATACTTTTTCATTCCTTCTCTTTTGGCCTATGTTTGTTCTTTAAAGATAAAATGGGTCTCTTGTAGGTAGCATATAGTTGGATTAAAAGAATCCATTCAGCTGTTCTATGTCTTTTGATTGAAGAATGCAATCTATTTACATTTAAAGTGATTATTGATAGGTAAAGACTTTCTATTGACATTTTATTCATTGTTTCCTGATTGTTTTGTAGTTCCTTTCTTCCATTCTTGCTATCTACATTTGTGATATGATGATATTTTTGGAGGGTTACGCTTTGATTCTTTTTTCTTTGTCTTTTATATATCTACTATAGTTTTTGTTTGGTTTTGTTTGGTGTGGGATTACCGTGGGGCTTCCATAAAACATTTTATAGTTACAGTAGTCTATTTTAAGCTGGGAACAACTTCATTTCAACTGCATACAAAAGCATTACACTTTCACTTCTCATCTCTTCACATGTTATTTTAATGTCATAATTTATATATTTTATACTGCATATATTCATTAATTCATTATTGTAGCTATAGTTATTTTTAATACTTTCATCTTTTAATTCTTTTTTTTTTTTTTGAGACAGCGAGTCTCGCTGTAGTCGCCCCAGGCTGGAGTTGCAGTGGCGCGATCTCGGCTCCACTGCAAGCTCGGCCCCCGGGTTCACGCCATTCTCCTGCCTCAGCCTTCCCGAGTAGCTGGGACTACACGGCGCCCGGCCGCCTCTCGCCCGGCTAATTTTTGCTTTTTTAGTAGAGACGGGGTTTCACCGTGGTTAGCCAGGATGGTCTCAATCTCCTGACCTCGTGATCCGCCCGCCTCGGCCTCCCAAAGTGCTGGGATTACAGGCGTGAGCCACCGCGCCCGGCCCTCATCTTTTAATTCTTATACTGAGGTTGAAAGTCCTTTAAACACCACTACTACAATATTATTCTGAATTTGACTATATTCTTACCTTTACAGTGCATTTTATACTTTCATATGTTTTCATGTTTTAGTTAGTATTCTTTTGTTTCAACTAGAAAGACTCCTGTTAGCATTTATTGTAAGGCAGGTCTTGTGATGAACTTCCTCAGCTTTTGTTTGTCTGGGAGTCTTTATCTCTCCTTTATTTCTGTGCAGCTTTGCTGGGTATAGTATTCTTGGTTAGCAGTTTCTGTCTTTCAGTACTTTTATTATATCAACCCACCCTCTCCTGGTCTGCAAAGGTTTTGTGAGAAATCAACTGATAGTCTTATGGAAGTATGCATGTATGTGATAAATAGCTTTTCTCTAGCTGCTTTCAAAGTTCTCACTTTATTTTTCACTTTTGAGAATACAATTATAATATTATAATATGTTTTGGTGAAAATCTCTTTATGTTTAATTATTTGGGGTTCTTTGGGCTTCAAGGATCTGAATGTTCATTTACGTATCCAGGTTTGGAAAGTGTTCTGACATTATTTCTGTAAATATGCTGTTTATTTTACTTTCTCTGTTCTTTCTCAAACTCCTATAATGCATATATTGCTTCCGTTGATGCTGTCCCATAAGTCTCATAAGCTTTTTTCATTCTTTTTTTAAACATTTATTCCTCTAACTGAATAATTTCCCACAATCTGTTTTCGAACTCACTGATTCTTTCTTCTATTTGATCAAGTTCTGCCACTGAAGCTCTCTATGGAATTTTTTTAGTTCAGTCATTGTATTCTTCAGCCCCAGAATTTATGTTTGACTTTTTATGGCTTCTATCTCTTTGGTGAACTTCTCATTTTGTTCATATATTGTTTTCCTGATTTCATTTTGTTGTCTGTGTTCTAGTATCACTGACTGAACTTCTTTAAGATGATTGTTTTGAAATATTTGTCACATAGTTTCTAGGTCTCGAATTCTTTAGGGTCAGTTACTAGTGCTTTATTTTGTTCCTTTGTTGGTATCAAGTTCCCCTGATTGTTTGTGATCATTGTGGATTTACGTTGGTGTCTGTGCATTTGAGGAAGTAGGCATCTCTTGCAGTCTTTGCAACTGACTGCAGCGTGGAAAACTGTTTACAAATCAGCCTGTACAGGGATTCAGGCTGGAACAGCTGGTGAGGCCTATGAGCAGGTTTGCTGCTGAAGTCCTTGGGTAGACTGTCTTGGTGACTCATCTGTGGGTATTTGGGCCTGATACCTTGGTCCATAAGACATGGGCCTGGTTCTGGGGCAGTCCTGGAGCCTCCATTTGTGGAAGGTGTCCTGGAGCTGAGGTAGGCTTGTATGGAGTCTGGGTGCTTAGGGGCCGGCCTGGGGGCGTTGTGGGGCTGGCCTGTTGTTGGAGTGGGCTTGGAGCTATAGGGGCTGGCCTGGCTCTAAGGTTCACTGGGGCTGGTCTAGTCCTGTGGTCTGTGGCAAAGTTGGGTGATCAGTCTCCTTCCCCCACACAGATGGTATCTCTCTGTGCATGCTGCACAGGCTTGGGTCATGGGTGAATGATATGGGTGATATGAAACTGTCTTTCTTTCCCTCTTCAATGTGTTTTTTCTTATTTCTTTGTTCCACACAGGTGCCATAACCTTTCACCTGGGTTCCTTAGCTCTTGTGAAGGTATCTTCATGCATGGATGGTAGTTCAAACTGATGTTTCTTTGAAAGGTAAGTGCTGAAAACTGCTATTCTGTGCTATCTTGTTAATGTCACTCCCAGATACTCGGGTTTTTAAGGCATTATTCACAGAGTTGTGTTCATTTTATGGTTTCAATTTCTTTTTTAATTCTTAAATATTCTTGAAGAATGTATTTTATAGATTTTAGCAGATATTTCTATTACCTGAAATTTTTTGTTTTGTTTTGATTTGATTTTGGTTTTGATTCCCATCATAATTTTTATGTGTTTGTTGAATCTCACTTATGGTAGATTATTTCCTCAAGATTTACTAACTTGGGATTATGAATTCATCCTCTGTGAGACATTATCTGTGCAAGTCTATAAAGGCTAATATAAGGATATAACATTCTGGACTAATATAAGGATATAACATTCTGGGAGGACTGAGTTGGGGATATGTGTTTTAGAGAAGATTATGTTTGCTTCTTCCAATTACAAGAGAGGTATCATATTCTAAGATAAATTTTTAGGTAAATTTCTTGGCTTGGGAGTTTATAGGCCACAGAAAGTCTAAATTTGTGGTACAAATCCAAATGGATGTCACACACACACATACATATATACACACATACTCATATATATGCATACATACTTTCTTAAAATATCTGAGCTTAGAAATAAGAATATAGGCCAGGCACAGTGGCTCACGCCTGTGGTCCCAGCACTTTGGGAGGCCGAGATGGGTGGATCTCTTGAGGTTAGGAGTTTGAGACAAGCCTGGCCAGCGTGGCAAAACGTCATCTCTACAAAAAATTCAAAAATTAGCTGGGCGTAGTGGCAGGAGCTGTAATCCCAGCTACTTAGGAGGCTAAGGCATGAGAATCACTTGAACCTGGGAGGTGGAGGCAGCCTGAGTGATGGTGAGTGTGACTCCATCTCAAAACAATAAAAAATAAATAAATAAAATAGGAAAATAATCTTGTTAAAATTACATGTGAATTATAGAAAAATGGGTTCTGAGTAGATAAGGATCTCTGCGATGACTGAAATTTATGAGATCAAGACGTATCTATCACTTGTTGAATAATTAATGAGTTTCAGGCTATGTGCTAGAGTATACTTGTTTACTTAAAACTTCCAGTAATTTTGTGAAGTGGTTATTATTTTTATATTTTAAAGATGAATAAACTGAGAATAAATGGTAGCATCAGGCTATTTTACTCAAATGACACCTCTTACTGAATACATTCATTGCTGTTTCTCTTCCTCTGACAATAATTCTCTTAACTTCCCTGATTTATTTTTTCCTTTAGAACTTCTCATCCTCTACTGTATTATAAATTTTCCTTTATTATTGTTTGTCCCACCTACTCCCCAAGAATGAAAGCTCCATTTAGACAGGTTTATGTTTTTACTGTTATTTTTTTATTACCTAGAATATTTCCTCACATAGTGAGTACTCAATAAATATTTGTGAATGAATGAATAATTCAAATGAGATGCTCTGTGCTTTTTTCTATACACGTCTTACTTCTAAACTTTAATTTATGAATCTGCGACAACTATTTGTCTTTAGTTCCTTAAAGGCCTTTAAAAATAGTGGGTTTTTTTTTTCAAGTTAACTGTGTTCTGAGAAGGTGAGGTTGCCAAATAAATTAATTCCAATGTGTGAGGTGTTTCTGTGTATGTTTGTGTCTGTGAAAGCACGCACTTGTGAATAAATAATACTCGACTTCCAGCAAATTAAATGCTATTTGAAAGCATATGGCAATATATAAAGTACTGTTCAGGTGGGATGTATTGATATTATTATTCTGTTGCTATATGAGGGTTGTCAGCAAGTTAGATCCATGTTACCAGGTTAGGGCACTTTTAGCAAGCTGAAAGCATAAAAATGAATGTTATCAATCAGTTTGCTTTCTTATGTGCTCAATATAAGTGTCCATCTTACTTTTGGCCTCCATCCTGTCTTCACACTGCCTACACAGGGAAAGAGAGAGAACAGTAGAAATATAGAGGTAGGACAGAGACCAGGAGGTGAGAAAGCAGACTTAGAGATAGATAAAGAGGTATGTATGTGTGTTTGTGTGTGTGTATAGTATGTGGTGACAGAGCAAAAGAAAAAGGGTCAGAAATGTCAGCAAAGTATTTGAAAGAGAGAGTAGGAAGAAGAGTAAAGATATTGCAATAAGAAAGAATGTGCTATGAATAAAATTGATAAGACTGGTAAACATGCAGGACTTAATATCTGAAGGCAAATCTACAGAAGTTCTACAGTTATCTTGCTATGGCTGTTGACTTAGTCTGTTTGTGTTGCTGTAAAGGAGTACCTGACGCTGGGTAATGTGTAAAGAAAAGGGATTTATTTGGCTCACAGTTCTGCAGGCTGCACAAGAAGCATAGCACCAGCATCTGCTTCTGGTGAGGGCTCCAGGCTGTTTTCACTCCTAGTGGAAGGCAAAGGGGAGATGGTCTGTGCAGAAATCACATGGCAATAATGGAGACAAGAAGGGGAGGGAGGTGCCAGACTCTTAACAAAAAGCCCCTATGAGAACAAATACAGTGAGAACTCACTATCTCAAGAATGGCACTAAGCAATTCATGAGAAATCCACCCTCATTACTCAGACTCCTCCCTTCAGGCCCCACCTCCAACACTGAGGATCAAATTTTAATATTAGACTTGACAGAGCCAAACAAAATGTATACAAACCATAACATTCCACCCTTGGCCCCCAAATCTCACGTCTTTCTCATATTGCAAAAAGCAGTCATCTCAGGCCGGGCGCGGTGGCTCAAGCCTGTAATCCCAGCACTTTGGGAGGCCGAGACGGGTGGATCACGAGGTCAGGAGATCGAGACCATCCTGACTAACACGGTGAAACCCCGTCTCTACTAAAAAATACAAAAAACTAGCCGGGAGAAGTGGCGGGCGCCTATAGTCCCAGCTACTCGGGAGGCTGAGGCAGGAGAATGGCGTGAACCCGGGAGGCGGAGCTTGCAGTGAGCTGAGATCCGGCCACTGCACTCCAGCCTGGGCGACAGAGCGAGACTCCGTCTCAAAAAAAAAAAAAAAAAAAAAAAAAGCAGTCATCTCATCCTAATAATCCTGGAAAGTCTTAATTTATTTCAGCATCAACTCAGAAGTCCAAAGTCTCATCTGAGACTCAAGGCAAGTTCCTTTCAGCTGTGAGCCAGTAATATCTAAATAAGGGTTTTACTCCCAAGGTACAATGGTGATACAGGCAGGAAAACAATGGTAATACAGGAAAACAATCCTATTCCAAGAGGGAGAAAATGGCCAAAAGAAAAGGGTAACAGGCTCCCACACAAGTCTGAAACCCAGCAGGGCAGACATTAATCTCTAAGTCTCCAAAATCATATTCCTTGTCTTCATGTCCCACATCTTAGGCACAGTGGTGTGAGGGGTGGGTTCCCAAGGCCTTGGGCAGCCTAATCCCCAAGGCTTTGCTGGGCAGAGCCCATGTGGCTGCTCTCACGGGTTGGAGTTTAATGCTTGTTGCTTTTTTAGGCTGAGATTGCATCATGTTGGTGACTCCATAATTCTGGGGTCTGGAGTGCTGTGGCCCTGCTTTCATGGCTCCATTAGGCAGTGCCTTGGCAAAGTGCTCTCTGCAGGGCTCCAACTCCACATTTATGCTCTGCATTGCCTTGGTTGAGTCTCTCTGTGGGGGCCCCACACCTGCAGTAGGCTTCTGCCTGAGCATCCAGACTTTTAGATACATCCTCTGAAATCTAGGTGGAAGCTGCCAAGCCTCCCCAACTCTTACATTCTGCACACCTTCAGACTTAACAGCACGTGGAAGATGCCAAGGCTTCCAGCTGGAGTGGCAGACCAAGTAGCATCTGGGGCCTTTTGAGCTGTGGCAGAGATTCAGGGAATATACTTCAGAGGTCAGCAGCACCTCAGGCCGTTTCCCCAAAACCATTCTGTCCTCCTAGGCCTCTGGAGCTGTGATGGGAGGGGCAGCCTCAAATATTTCTGAAATAATTTTCGGTCCTTTTTCCCATTGTCTTTACTATAAGCACCTGGCTCCATTTTATCCACACCGATTGCTCTAGCAAGTGGTTGCTCTGCAGCATCTTTGGATTCCTCATCTGAAAATATTCTTTCCTTTTTGAACATGCAGCCAGTCTGTGAACTTCCCAATTTTTATGCTCTGCTTTCTTTTTAATGATAAGTTTGAACTTTAGTTCATTCCTTTACTCTTATGTCTGATTGTAAGCTGTTAAAAGCAGCCATGCCACCCCTTGAATGCTTTGCTGCTTAGAAAATTCTGCTGCCAGATACTCTAAGACATCACTCTTAAGTTTGACCTTCCACAAAACTCAAGGGGACAAACACCATGCAGCAAGTTCTTTGCTAGGTGTAACGAGGGTGACTTTTGCTCTAGAGCCCAATAAGTTTCTCATTTCCATCTGAGACTTCCTCAGTATAGCCTTTTCTGTCTATATTTCTATCAGCATTTTGGTCACTACCATTTAACCAGTGTCTAAGAAGTTCCAAACTTTCCCTTGTCTTTTTATCTGCTTCTAAGCTTTGTAAACTCTTCCAACCTCTGCCTATTACCTACTTCCAAAATGGCTTCCACATTTTCATGTATCTCTATAGCAACACTCCACTCTTCAGTACCAGTTTTCTCTTTTAGCCCACTTATGTTGCTAAAAGGAATACCTGAGTCTGGGTAATTTGTAAAGAAAAGCGGTTTATTTGGCTCACCATTCTGCAGGCTGTACAAGAAACATGGCAGCAGCATCTGCTTCTGGGGAGGAACTCAGCCTGCTTCCAGTCATTGTGGAACATGAAGGGGAGCCGACATATGCCAAAATCACATGGCAAGATTAAAGGCAAGTGGAGGTGCCAGACACTTTAAAAATAAGCAGCTCTTGTGGGAACTAATAGAGCAGGAACTTACCCACTTGAGAGAATGGCAATAAACCATGCATGAGGGATCTGCCGCCATAATCCAAAGACCTCCTGCCAGATCCCATCTTCAACATTAGGGATCACATATCAACATGAGACTT